GACGATTAAGAAATTACAGGACTAATTTCTAAAAGAATACAATTTGTATCAAGCATGTGACTTTTTGCCAGTTTCTGAGAGCGTAATAGTACTAGATGTTCTAAATAAAACCCTTCAGATCCATGAGCCGTGAAAGTAATGCTGGTATGGAAAATGATGCTGATACTTCCTCCCTTAAAATTTTCAATGAATGGCTGCTTCTGTTTCTAAGCTGCAGGAACAAAGCACCTCTATCACACAAGCACATAAACATACGACTCAACTATCCACACATATGCTGGGCCCTCATCTCAAATCCAGGGTTCTATACAGGTTCAACAAATTGAGAGGGTTTAAATTGTATGCGTGTACTACTCCATGCAATACATAATGTACAAGGTCTACCTAATGTCAAAAGCCTAGTTAAGACTTCTGAAAGATTATTTTTATATTAAATATTTTTTGAGATGACCACTCACAAAAGAAACAGTCATCATGGCCGCCTGAGTCTCTTGTCTCCATTCCTCACAAGGGAGCTTGATTTGAAATCTGGCAGAGAATTTTGTGTCCTATATGCAGTACTAGTCAAGACATGACTGAAACATAATTCCAGTCCAGACATCTAGAACCTTCTAACCAGTGACTGGCTTTAGTTGAGGAGAAATGGATTATCCAATTGTTTTCCAGTCAGGAAGGACTGGAGGGAACAGATCTAGCCTCCCTGACCAGCCCTGAATTACCCCTCCACAAGGGAGGAGGAGCTGACCTGATTGGAGATAGCATGACCACTACTGGACCGTCTTGCACATGTGAGCGTGGTCCTGGCACTGACAAGCCGTGCACAATTACCAGGGTCTCCAGTGCCACCAACAACCATATTAAGAGACAATGGGTTCTCTCCCTCCTTCCCCTCCCTGTGCAGAAGCTCCCCCCACATGCACAGGTGGGGTGGGGAGGAGTAATAACAATAACCTCAGATCTGCACAGTGGTCTGGCCATCTTCAATTCATTGGTTAAAGACTAGGAAAATCTGCTTTGGCTCCAGGCCTAAACTGCATTCTTCCACACAACTGGGGAGTTAAAAGGAGCTTGGCCAGATTCAAAGCACGTTACTCTGCATCTCATTAGGATAGTGATCCCCGTGTTGTGTTTGCTGCAACTCCAGAGGCAGGGGTGAAGTAAGCAGCACTCTAAACCTTTTTTATACAGGAAAAACCAATGAAGTCTTGACAGAGTGAAAGGGCCTCAGAGCGCCCAGATTTCCACCATTTGCCAAACAAATGAGTGGCTATTATAGCTTTAGGTGAGGAGGGGCAAGGATCCAGATAGTCACAGTTGAAATGCATACATATTGATGACAGAGACCAAACAATTTCTTCAAGCCTTTTCTCATTACCTCAGGTTAGTTTAGATTAGTAAATTTTTACCTCAGCAAACACCTATCCTTGTCCTCAAGAGATGAAGTACAGGACTGGTAAGGGCAAGGGTCTGGTTGGTAATGACAAGCTTTAGCAGGGTGAGGAAGGGGCTGGCCATAGAAACAGCAAGAAGGGTAGCCCCAGGTCTGAGTGTCTGGGTGGGAGCTATGGGAAGGAGCCAAAGAGAGGACAAAGGAAGACAAGAGAAAACTCTGTATGGCTCTGGTTTGATACATTTTTCATTGTTGAAGACTTCTATGAGCTCTTACACAGTTTTAATCTACTGTATGTGTACATAATTGTTATTTCATTCTACATATTCATAAATCATGAAGCTCAGGGATTCTGCTGAACCCTAGCAGTTAAAAACAGGATTCATAAACAGAGTGCCCAAACAGATTCTGTCCCTTTTCACTATGTGGCTTTTTTTCTACAACATGGTTTTTTAAAAGATACATTATGAGCTATAGGGGGGGAAAAAAAAAAATCCTGATCCATTACTTGCAAATACATTACAGAACCGTAGATGGCTAAGAAACAAGCATATTTTAACTTATTCAGGTACTTGAAATCTTCAAGTACTTTTGCCTTAACCATCAAAAGACAAAAAATACACAGGCAACCCAAGGGCAGAGAAAATACAAGATACACTTTTTACTTTTCATTATGCTTTTCCAAGAACCATTTTATTCATACTAGGTGTTACCTATGAAAAATGAGGCTAGGAAGATGACACTCTGCTGAGGACAGACAGCTCTGTACAGCTCACAAGGCCACTGTTGTGCCTTTGATGCAGGCTTGCCCATTCATTCTATTCAAATGGATTTTTATGACATTTTATATAAAATAGCCCTTGAGTCATTATTTCTGTAGGAAGCTTTATCTCTTTCGTTTTATATTTAAAAATTTGAAAACTGGATCAAATATTCAGGACTTATGATCACTTACAAGGGAAGAACTGCCAAGACTCACTATCAGGAGGGACACCCGCTAGGAGGTGTCAAAGATCATAGTGCTTCGGTGACCGAAGGCTCAATGGCATGATCTTCTCATGGGCAATGAAGGCCAATCAACAATACAGACAGCTAATGACACTAGATATTGCTTAGTAGTATCAAATAGCAAATTAGTGGAATTATATACTTACGAATAATATTGAATAGGGTATTTGCTTTGCTCATGTATTTATAAAACTGACACTGTGTCATGAGATAAAGTTTTTTTTTTTTAAACTTAGGTCTATAGTTTTAGAAATTTAAGCTTTACTGATGGAGCAGCAGAAAGATGGGGTATAGAACTCCAATTCTAGTAAGAAGACCAGACTTAATGGTCTGACTGAGATTGGAGGAACCCTGGAAAGCATAGCCCCTGGATTCTCTATCAGCCCAGAACTAAAACAATTTCCGAGGCCAATTCTGCAGACAGGGATTGGACTGGACTGTGGGACATAAAGTGATACTCGTGAGGAGTATGCCTCTTAGTTCAAGTAGGTACAAGAGACCAAAGGGGCAGCTTCTGTCCAGAGGTGAGATGGGAAGGCAAAGAGGGTGAGGAGCTGCTTGAATAGACATGGGGCATCAGGGACGGAAAGGAGTGTGCTGTCGCAGAATGGGGTGAGCAATGAGGGTCACATAACAATGTATGTATAAAATTTTGTATGGGAGACTAACTTGAAATGTAAACTTCATTTAAACTACAACAATAGAAAAAAAAAAAGAGAGAGGGAAAAAAAAGACATTTAAGCTTTAAATAACTAGGGAAACCAACTGAAAGAAAGGAAGCCAGTACAAAAGTTAAAAAATAATGGAAAACCTACCAAAGCAAGATAATGAGATTCTGATTTGGGCTGGTCAGTGTCACACTCGTTTTCCAAGTTTGTACCCTGAGTCAACTATTTGATAACCGTCATACAGTAGGCACAGAAATCAGCATACTTTATCAAACAAAGCACTAAATAGCTGTTGCTACATTAAAAAATTATATTAATTTTTGTAAATGCAGAGAGGAGGATAATCTGAAATTTTCAAATCTGTGCTCGGTTTTCATCTAGCATGGAGGAAATACTGGGCGAATAAACATCATCTGCTAATGTGACTTTCTCCTCTCTCTGCCAATCAGCTTGAAATTCCAAAAAAACTACACGTGTGGGAAAACCATTAACAACAAACAGAACAGAAAACAGTTGCTGGGGGATTTGTTTTGAAAGGACTAGACAGCATTAGTCTTGAAATGCTTCTAGAAGGCAGAGTGCATGAGGACTCTTTGGCTCGAATCACAAATAGCTCCGAAACTTGCATTTTGTGGACTGAAAATGAGTTACTACACTTGGGCTTTTAGACTACATCAAAAGCACATTAACACTCGTAGTGTAACTGAGCGTGGTGAAGGTCACCTCACTGACAATACTTCACAGGATCCCTCCAAGAATACCAGTGCTGACACAGCAGCACCAGCGGTAAGAGCTTATTGAGATGGCAGACTGAAGTGACGGAGTGACACTGTTAATCATTTGGTTTGTTCTGAAAAAAGTTTGTAAAGGACCAGCCTCCTCCACTAGATTTGGGAGAGTCTTCATCTTTAGGAGGAAGCAAAAACTGTCGGGAATTGATGGAGCATGGACTTCCAAAAGAGACAATTTCACTGTTGCTGTCTGTGGATCGAGGAGAGTCTGGAGATACTAAATTCCAAGTATTTACATTTGCCTGAGGTCTGTAGCCTGCAGTGTGATCTAAGTCATCTTCTGCAGTCATATCTTCTACAGTAGAAGTAACAGGGAGGTGCATTTGCGGCTTATAGCCTGACCCCCCTACAGAGTCATTTTCTTGTTCCTCTGGTTTTGCCTGAGGTTGATACATCGACTGAACATCAATATAGATGACTTGTGAAGTTCCTCCGGCTTCGTCCGCCACTGGATTAGGTATTTCTTCCTCAATGATGGGTGGACAATAGGACACAACCACGTGGTTTTCAGGTTCTGCCTCAGAGCTGTCTTCAGGATGCTCAGCTACTGGGGAAATTATTTCTGTATCTTCTATTTTAGGAACTACTGATCGGGTTTCCAGAACCTCGACATTATTTGGGGTACAGGGATTCATTTCCAATGTTTTAAGAGCACTGTTTCCCTAGAAATAAATACAAAAGAACGGACTAAGGACAGCAACAAAAAGGGACATTATATCTTATATTTCTTTCACATCTGAGTATAAAAATTTCTCTCTACTACTCTGTAGTGTATACTATAGCAAAGTCGCTTTTTCCCTGCATATCAATAATGTCCTTGCTATTAACGGTAGTGGGAAAAACATGAGCATAGGATAAACAATTCAAAATTAGTCATTTTAGAAATTCAGCAAATGTTAAAAAATTATCTTCTCAATACATTATACTTAGGATGGCATTTCTATGCTAAAACTTTTCGAAGTTTTAGTTCAAAAAACTAAAAAAAGGCAGCAAGTACTTCAAAGATAAACCTAAGAAAATTCAAGATTACCTCACAGACGCTCTTTTGAAACTGAAGTGCTTTACAATTTTCCGGGTTTGGAATATCAGGGTAGAAGGTTTCTTTAATCCTTTAAAAAAAGAGTGACTAAGTTAATTTAATAATTATAAGATTATCCAACAGATAACAAATAAGCAAACAAATCATCAGGCTTACTCTTTCTGTGCAAATATTTTAGTTAATAAGCATCTGAGATATGAATGGAAGATCCTTAGTGTGTGACCATTCACTAGAACTTTTCTATGCAATGCAGTGGGGACGTTCCAATTTGGAAACTATCAACAGTACTTCTATTTCTACAACTGCAATACTGAGTCAAAAGTAACATACAGGCATTGTTCATATAACAAAACTTTCCTACTGTAAACTGGATTAAGCATGATTAATTAGGGACATATTTGCATTACGCCCTTCTCTACTTCTCTGTACCATTAGCAACAGAAAGCTGGGGTGTTATGTACTGGCTTTACCTATGTGGTTAAAAAAAAAAGTGAGTAATAAAAGTGACAGCAATATGTCATGAGTTCTATACTTGATGTGATAAAAAAAAAAATGCTACTAATCGAGTAAAAACTAAATGCAAAAAAAAAAATTTGCTCAGTGTAATATTTTTATATTTGTAACTATTAAATTCCTGCAAGAAAAATAATTTCATTAATGCAAGTCTGAGATGCTCTAACTACTAAACTCCCTCGTATTTTTTTGTGGGGGGTAAATGTGAAATGTAATTTTGTTAATGAGAAAATGGTTACCAAAACAAGCTGTTCTATATTTCTAAAATTATTACTATTTTGATTTATAAGCCAGGATTGCTGGAACACATCCTCTTCACAATAAATGATGGAATTCAGGACCTGCCCATGCACTCGCCTACGGCCACTCAATCATTGGCTTTTACTCAGCCACGCAACCCCGTTTTCACTTTCTCCAGAAGGTCGAGTTCTTTCCCATTTCGAGGCCTTCACAGAAGCTATTCACTCTGCCTGCAATACTCTTTCCTCCTCTATTCATCCTTGGAGACTCTGCTCAAATGTCACTCCTGCAGAGAAGCCATGGCTGACTGCTAGCCTCCACTGACACAGGTTCCCTCTGCTCTTCTCCCGGTGGGGCCTGGCCCCCTTCCTCCCTAGTTCTCTCTCACATGCTGCAAGCATATATTTATTGGATGATGTGGATGTAATGCTCATCTTCCCCATCACATGCTAAGTCTGTAAGGACCAGGCTTATTTTGTTTTCGACAGCACACAACAACACATCCCCCTACACATGGGAGGGGTCACTCATATTTGCTGAATAAATGAGTAAATGGCCAGATTTTCTAAATAGGTCACCAGGACAAGTGAAGTCTTAACCATTAAATTACACTTAATCTCATATATAACTCTTGCCATATTTATGCCTGTAATTTTTTTTTTTTTCAGTACAACTGCTATTACTTTAAATTATAAGTAAAAACAGTTGGGGAAAATTTACATGTTTACTCAATTTTAAAAGCTTTAAATAATAGTCACGTTCTTGCCTAATATTAAATGCAACATTAAGTCTGACTAAAATAAGTATTTTTTACTCACTAGTTACAACCAAAAAGATGTACATACTTGTTAACACACAGACTAAATAACCATGCACCAAGAACAAAGCCGCAAAAGTAAATGCAGGTACCATTACCATTCTCGTTTCCGATAGCAAAGGATACTAGTGACCACTCCAACAATGACAGCCACTGCCACTGGGATGAGAATGGCAATAATTAATCCCACAGCTGAAAAGAGAGGGTTGCAAATAATTAAAGTCACCATTTTTAGTATGAAGCATAGAATAAATTTGTATTAAGAGATATTTAGGCTGGTAGGTCATTTGAAAGGCTCCTAAATGCTCCAGTGACACTGAAAGACTATGAAAATGTAATCCTAAAGCATTTTTAATTTTAATAGTAATACCTAAATTCTTTACAGCAGTGTTTCTCAATCTTGGCACTACTGACATTTCAGACTAGTTAATTCTTGGTTAAGGAGCTCTGGTGGCTTAGTGGCTAAGTGCTCGGCTGCTAACTGAAAAATCGGTGGTTCAAATCCACCAGTGGCTCCATGGGAGAAAAGACTTGGCAATCTGTTCCCGTAAAGATAACAGCCTAGGAAATCCCACGGGGTATTTCTACTCTGTCCTGTAGGGTTGCTATGAGTCAGGATCGACTCAATGGCACACAACAACAACAATCCTTAGTTGTGGGGGCTGTCCTGTGCACTGCAGGAAGTTTAGCAGCATCCCTCATCTCTACCGATAGATGTCAATAGCACCTGCCCTCCAGTTAATGGGAACCAAAAATGTCATCAGACATTGCCAAGTGTCCCCTGGGGGAAAAATCACCCCCAGCTGCGAACCACTGCTTCAGAGAACCGTATCCTCTCGGTTCTTTATTTAAGAGCTGTGCGTGAACTCAACTCAGGGTAAAGTACATGCAGGTACCATCTTCTAAAGTTTTTCAAATGATGAAGGACAGTTAAGACCATCACTCTTATCTTCTCTACTTTCCACCTCAATTTTATGAATGTTATGCTTAAAAAAAAGATTTTTATGATACTTCTCTCACTTTCCCTAAAAACCAGAGTTAGAACAGTTGAGATAAAAAACCTAAACCCAGTTGACTTAGAAAAATTCAACATGAATTTAGAGCTCTGGGCTTCATATGTACCCCTATTTAATTAATTTGTTAGGTATGCATTAGAAAATAGCTTCGAGTAACTGACAAGAATAAATGAATAAATATGAAGTTATCTTGAAGGCTTTTAACGTTGCCATCCACCCACCATTAAAATGTAACTACACCTGAAATTTTCAAAAAAACAGAAACTCCTCAATAAACCAAAACTGCTAGAAATACTATGCCTTTAAGTATGAGAAACGCCTCAATGGGGACATTAAACTTACAATTTTCCTTTGTCACCACGTACATGCTCTTCTCGGGGCCTATCCCACCATCAGTGTAGGCTCGCAGCACCAGATGGTAACTCGTTTTACCTTGAAGATCAGCAATTTTCAATGTCTTCTGAGATATGTCAGTAATATTCTTAATCTTTATGTCAGAACGGTCTGTTTTTAACATGAAGAATATTATTACTAATCTCCACAACGATTTATCACATGGTCAATCATACCTGTCAGACCCATGGACTCTTTAAAGTGAAAATGGCTGCTGGCCACCCATAGCACTAAGGACTTTAGAGCCAGCCAGAGCCATGTTCAAGTTCTACCTCCGCCGGTGGCAGAGCTATGTGATTTGGGGTTCATGATTTAAATCACTCTGAACTTGAGTTTCTCTAACTATGAAACAGAATATCACCATCTATCACACCAGAGCTTAATACACATGCTCTATGAGAATCACATCCCTTTCTGTTACTAAGAGCATGAAAATCACAAAAGCCAAACCCTTGGGGCAGCAGACAGTGACACTCAGGCTGATCCTGCCTATGAGTCAGAGTGAGGCTCAAGGGAGCAAGAGTACAGATCAATGCAGATCACTTCAAACCACTTAGAAAAAAATGTTACCTACGTTCTCAAACAACAGGTTAGTGAAGAAGCCTTTAAACCACTTCAAAAGGAAGTGTGAAGAATTTTTTAAGCTATTATTTTTAAAAACTTTAATGAAAATAATGCAAGACGATAGTTTAAAAAATTAAATAGTGCTAAATGGCTAATGAGTCAGCAAATGAGAGGAAGAGATGAGCTGACACAGTGGCTGCAATGATGGGCTCAAGCACAGCAATGATCGTGAGGATGGCGCAGGACCGGGCAGTGTTTAGTTCTGCTGTACACAGGGTGCCTATCAGTTGGAACTGACTCGACAGTACCTTTAACAACAACAAACAGCTAATAATAAAAAGTACCAGTTCCTGTCCTCCCCACACCACTCACCCCACCAAATAAAAAACACTTTAAAATCACGTTATCAGTTTCTTTGGGTATTTACCTCCACATTTCAGAATAACACACTTACATTGCTAGTTGTTGATTTTTAAATTTTAGACATTATCTACTCAAGTCCCATTAAAGTGAGAAGATTTAGCTCTGTTACACTATGGCTACCCTTTTCCCCCACATCATTCAAACAAACATCAAAACACTTGGTAAGTTAAGTGTTTATATTATTTTGACCATACAGATACATATTACTGCTAAAACAAACTGCTTGGTATGATCATTTTTCCTGTCGTTGAAACTGCTTTTTCCTTATTTGCTTGATTTTCCATGTACCAATTCCTAAATCTTTTTACATCCTCCAGTGAACTCTCAATATCATTCCCACGTGGTCAAACGAAACAAAGCCCCACTTGCGTGCCCTCTGAGTCCTACACACTTCCCGCCCAGAGGTGCCCTTCCCTCTGCCTGCTGCACTAGGCTGGAGACCTTCTGGGCCACCATCCAGGGACTCCCTGCCCCTCTCCTGTCAGCTTCCTGGGTCTCCCTCACATCCTCTCCTCATTTTGATGCACAACTTTGGTAGCTTCCTGAGTAAGAGTGCATGGGGGAAGTAAATATTCACAACCTTGTGTGTCTAAAAATGTCTTCATTCTATTCCCACTGGTTACTAGATGGGCAGATACAGAATTTTAGGTTGAAAATAATAGTCACTCAGTATCTTAAAGACATTGCTCTCATATTTTCTAGTATCTGGTCTGTGGCTGAGAAATTTGCTGCCATTTTTATTCTCTGATCCCTCATACCTATCCTTTTTTTCTTATCATTTTAAGGACTATTTCTAGATACATTAGGTGCTCTGAAAGTTGTTGATGAAGTATCTTGGCGTTAGTCTTTTTCCTATTCATTTCACTGTGAAATTTGGGTCTTCTTACCCTATATACTCAAGTCCTTCAGTTCTGGAGAACTGTCTTACGCTATTTCTTTGACAGTTTCCGTTCCTCCATTTCCCTCTGTTCTCTTTTGATAGAGCCCCTATATAAGCATGATGGTGTAGATCCTAGGCTGGCCCTCCAATTTTCAAATCTTTTAACTCCAGTACTTCTCCTCAGCCTTTGTCAACTTTTGGGAAGAATTTCTCTATCTTCCAATACTTCTATTTAGTTTTTTAAAAAACTATTTGATTACATTTTTTAAGGTCAAGGGGCTCTTTCCTGCCTCGATTGTTCCTTTTGGTAACATCGTGTGTTTTCAGTGAACACAGTATTATCTCAGCTGTCTGAGAGCAGTTCTGTTTTGGATTTCTTTGTTTCCCCACACTGACTCTGTTCCCGCTGATGTCTTCTGGCTTCTGCCTCTCGTGCTCGAGGCTTTCTCAACCATCTGGTGATCCCTGGATGCTAGTCATGTTTAAGAGCGAGCCACTAAGAGGTTAACTGGAAGCTTTGTGTGCATAGATGGAGTTTACTGATTAGTGGCCTTCACTTATCACTGGTGGAGGATGATCGGGTGGGTTCCTGCTTTCCTTGGGAGAATCTCCCAAATGTCAGCATCTTTTATGCCTTTTCTCTGGGACCATTTAGATTTTCCATAGAAAGACCCTCTAATCTCTTCATGGGGGAACAGGCCTAGCCGAAGATGTTCTATCAGCTAGGTGGGGAAAGGAGGGACAGGAGAAGGTCACACCATTTAGTAAGCTATACACCTGTTTTAAGTCTGGGACTTCATCCGACAGTCAAAATTCTGGAGGTTCTCTGGTTCAATTTCTCCAGAGAATGAACATCTAGTCTTCTCCAGGCATGGGAGAGGGGTAATCACATTAGCTGTATGAGGTAGGTGTAGGACCTGGGGGCGTCTAACTGCTCCTTATACAGACTTCCAATCAACCCCTGTGCTCAGCCCTGATTCATCCTAGCCATCTGGCTCCAATGCCTGGTTCTGCGGGGTGAACCACAACCCTGCTCAGTCAGCACTCAGATTTTTCACTGTCCTCCTAAGTCATTCACCCCACCCTCAAATTTATGAATCTTCTTGTTTAAGGTTGTCTTGCCTCTCCAGTCCTCTGTCTTTGTAGCTTTGTATGTTTTTTCTTCTTGACTCTAATTTTAGTGAGATCTTGGGAGTAGAGATAAATATGTGTGACCAATCTACCACGTCTAACTGAAGTCCAGATGCTAGAATTATAACTGGTTCAAGTGTAAAATTTCTGAGCATTTGAGGAAAATTAACCAGACTCTGGGTGTTAGTAGAATTTGATATTCAGGGTTTCCCTCATCCAAAGGCGACTCTGTGAAGGCTCATGAAATGCAGAAATTAGTGATCTGGTGAGCCACACATTTGATGAAGCTGATCTGGGGAAGTGACTTAGCTAATGCCCATCAGCATCCCAATGCGGCTTTGTTGTTCTCTACTTGTCAGACGGCTATTAAATAATTAAAACTGTTTCTTTCCGAGGAGACGTCACCAAGGGAAATGAAATCTTTCAAGCTGAAAAGATGATAAGCTTGTGTTATATGTTATGCAGCTATAAATAAGAAACATGATTCCTGACAGAAATTTAATTGGGAAAAAGCCAGAAGTCTGTATAAACATTTCTGTGTTAGTAAATATAAGAATTCGCTACGGTCTCTGCACCTACACCGCCCAAATGTTAAGGGCTTACTGCATTTCTTAAGCTCTAATGGATCTACATGTTCCCAATCAAGTCAATTAAGCTTCCCAGCTCCTTAGTGCCAGGACTAACAAAGACATTAACTCTGTGGATGGCTGTCAGGGAACAACTGAGGCTCCAAGCCATTCTCGTGATTCCCGAGTTCTTCCTCTCCATTACTGTAAGTACAACAAGACTTACCTTTTTTTAAAGTAACCTTCATATGATGCTGTGTTAAGGAACATGCAAGGCTAGTAACAAATGGTCCCAGTTCTATGGGGGCTTATAATAAAAGGCTTTTAAGAGAAATGATTTAAAGGATTTCTCAAAGGCCACGTAGGTCATTTATCACATGCCAAAATCTTAAAACTCTCATACTCATCAGACAACTGCATCTGCATTCTCATTTTCCTATTTTTCAGTTTTAGAAACCAGTATTAAACTACTCATCAGCACTTTTCTTTTCTTTCTCTTTGGTTCATGAAGAACTTCTAAGAAACATTATATTCCAGCTGTAATTTACTCACCTGATCCCAAGCCCCTCATCTTAGATGTGCCTCTCTCTCCTTTTCCAAAATAAAATAAATATCCTCTTAAAAAGCCTCTAAGCTCTTCCACAGGAATATCTTCCCATTTTACTAATATAGAATCCGCAGAAGTATCTTCAACAGTAAAATTTGGTGCAACAATTGGAGCTGTAAAAGGAAAAAAATCAACTGCTAAAGGATATGTCACTAGTACAGAGTAAGACATTAACATTTCATGAGATTTCTAGCCTCAAAAAGAGCTAAAGCTTTGAATTGTAACTTTATTCTCTAATCATAAACTTTCAGGTATAGTATTACAAACATTTGCAATGAAACTTACACTAA